TTCATCCAATAAGTCCTAATCTTTTAAAAACCACATTTTGTAACCAAAAAACCACAGAATTTAAACAAACAAATGGTTATGTGTTTGTTTAAATTCTTTTTTTTCTTTTTAAAGTCAACATTCTTGTCTCTAAATGGCAAATCAAAAGTAAAAGAATTCATTAAAGATATTGTAACTAAAAACATTTATATATTGATATTTTTATTATGAAAATATATTACTATAATATTAAGTCAATTTAAATTAGGACTGTAAATTTATAAGCATTCTATTAAAGTATAGTAAACATCTGATATATTAGCTACTATTTTCTTCACCTAATAAACATCTGATATATTAGTTACTATTTTCTTCACCTAATAAACATCTGATACATTAGTTACTATTTTCTTCACCTAATAAGCATCTGATATATTAGTTACTATTTTCTTCACTTAATAAAGAATGCATGGTAAATTATTTTACCATGAGACAACTTTCTATTTTAGTACATTAAGTCATAAAAAAACAAACATGAAGCTATGATAATTGTAGAAATGTTTGGAAAATTAATGCATAGCATAACCTCTGTAATGCAGTTTTCTTAATAAGCTATTGTGTTACAGGTTATATTTTATGTGTTATGTGTCATATAATTTCATCATGAAAAACTTCAAAATGAGATTTTTTTTTTCAACACTTGTTGACATTATTTTTATTTACATTTTAAAAATTTTTATTTATTTTAAAATTTTAAAAATTTAAAATAAAATTTTAAAAATTTTATTATTTACATTTTAAAAAATTTTAAAATTCACAAAATTATTTTTTGATTCCTCTACCCCCTCCTCAACAACCCAAAAATATCCATCACGACTTCAAATGGGTAGGACCAACTATCACTATCATCTTTACTAAAAAAAAGGAAAAAAAAGAAAAAAAAAGATAACCTAAAAAATAATATATAGATCAAGGTACAAGTAACACTCAAAGTATTTTTGAAATATTTGTAAGTGACCATGGCTCCACTACAAATGCAAAAACTTGAATTTTTTGTATTTTCAGAGTGCTGGGAACAAATTTTCATCTGTGCTGGTGGGGTAGTTTTTTTTTTATTTAAAAAAAAAACTTTCTGTTAATAAAAGTAAAAGTTCATCTTTTATTGCTATAACATTCAACATTGTGTTTCATCTATAAAAACTCATCAGAAATGCATTTCTGATAAGTCTTTATTGATGAAACACAGTAATAAATGAAAAAAAATTTTGTTAAGTGATTTTCTACTAAATTATATATATATATATATATATATATATATACATATATATATATATATATATATATATATATATATATATATATATATATATATATATATATATATATATATATATATATATATATATATATATAATTGATATCATTATTTAAAATTTTTTTTTTTATAAATTATTTGCAACTTGTAAAGTAATTAGTAATTTATAGAAACTTACATATGATATTTTCTTTTTGTTCAACAATTTCTATTTTTGCAACAGGCTTTGTGATAAAATAAGACACTTTCATAGAACTATTTCTTAAAGCAATTTTATCCAACTCATCCTTTAAAACACATATATTCAAAAATATTATCTAATTTATGTTATATATATATATATATATATATATATATATATATATATATTATATATATATATATATATATATATATATATATATATATATATATATATATATATATATATATATATATATATACATATATATATATATACATACAAATATATATATATATATACAAATATATATATATATATATATATATATATATATATATATATATATATATATATATATATATATATATCAATAAAATATAGCTAATTATACATATAATTTATACATTATATATATAATATATTAAAAACATTCATATAAAATAAAATAATATATATTTACTCTGAAAATTAGTTCATGATCATTAACCGCTGAGTATAACATAAATGTTTTGTTTTTAACTTCATTGTAAACTGAATTATTTAAGTAAATGTCATGGAATATAGAAAAAAGAGGATTTATGCCCACACCACCAGCTATCAATAATAAATTATCATTTAAGTTATGATTGTTTCTTGAGTAAAAGAGTTCACCACCAACAGCAAGTGAAACTTCATCACCACATTTACACTGTTAAAATTAAATTAAAAATTGAAAGTAAAGATAATAAAAATAAGTTGTAGATAAAAGAAAAAAAGTTTAAACAAGATCAAAAAAAATTTTAATTTTATTTAAAAAAAAAACTTACAAAATTTGTTGAATTAATCATTATTGAATCAGTGTTTTTTAAGAGGACTTATTTGTTCTAAATATTTTTTCTGACCCACCCTTTTAAAAAACATTGATTCAATAATACGTACTAAAGATAGTAGATTAAATTTCAATTAAGCCTATTATCTTTATTAGACATTATCAGTATATAACTTATCTTTATTAGACATAGTCAGTATACAACTTATCTTTATTAGACATAGTCAGTATATAACTTATCTTTATTAGACATAGTCAGTATATAACTTATCTTTATTAGACATAGTCAGTATATAACTTAGATTACTTTTTAGAATAAAGTAATAAAAGGTATATACTAATAAAATCCAACACTAAAGAAAACAACATGTATGCTGTAGACAATGATAATAGGGCTAAACTTTTATAATTACCAGAAATTTTAACATCTTAAAGGTCTTGATTACTTTTAACAGTTTTTAAAAGTAATCAAGACCTTTTACAACAATAAAATTACTTTGAGACAAATAGTATAAAATAAAATATCTTCTATAACATATTTAGATAAGCATTTACTTACTTTATTGCATACATTTATAAAAAAAAAAAAAAAAATTTAAAATTCTGTTTGATATAGTGGAGAAAAAAACAATAATAAAAGACAATTGTTTGCAATTTTAAATCGCTTCTCTTCTTTGTTTGATATAATGGAGAAAAAACAATAATAAAAGATAACTGTTTGCAACTAAAGGTTTAAAGAATAAATTATCAAATTTATTAATTGAAACTTTTTTCTATTTTAATTGCTTACATTGCTTTTAAACACTGTTTTAAAAGGTTTAAATGATTTGTTACATATATTGTCTTCTTTTTATTTTTATTCTTATTTTTAATTTATAAATGTAAAAAAAAAAAAAAACTTTCAACACAACGTTTTGGACAATTTCCACTTTTCAAATAGCTAAAAAAAAAATTTTAATTGATGACTGTTGATAAAAACACTATACATTAGGGTAGATTAGGGTAATATTATCACCTTAAACGATTAATTAAAATATTTTTAAAAATAATTATGCTGCATCCAAAATTTTATCAAATAAACAACTTTTAGGGATTCCTACTCATGGTCCACTAAGATATTTTTCTTAAAAACACAGACGTCTTGAAAAAGTAGCAAAAGTGCTCATATTACATTGGTAATATGAACACTTTATATTAGCTCTAAAAATTAACATTAAGTAAAAAAAATAACAACTTGACAATTAGAACTAATTTTTAGAATATAATATTTTGTTATTAACAAAACTTATCATTAAAAGGTCAAATTTTAAGCCACTTTTTGTTGAGACAAAATGTTTTAAAAAAAAAAAAAATTAATTCGTTATTTTTTCAAATTTATTAAGTCAAACCTTTGAACAATAAAAATTCAAATTTTTAGAAATTAAATTACAAATTAATATTTAGTATTGTTAAAATAATAAAATTTTTTACTATCTTTTATTTTTATTTAAAGAGCAATTAAAACCACTGCTTTTTTACGACTTTAAACTAGGTAATTGCAATGAAAAACACTTGGTAATTTGAGAATGCTCATATTACACAAAATTAGCTTTAAATAAAGTCAAAACAAAATTTTCTTTGCATTTGTTTTTCAAACAAAAATGGATTGGATTTTCAGCTAAAATATTTTTCTTTATGAAAAAAATAATATCATTCTTTGAGCACCAAAATTTTGCACGACAGATTTATTCATTAGTGACGAAATTTTAACAATGCAAAAAATTTAACAGCGTTTTAATTAGATGATAGCCGCTAATTACTGCATATAAATTTACCCCAATTGTACTGATTCCTGTTATCACCACATAAAGTCGATTCAAAAAATACAAAGCAACTTGAACTTCACTGTTTACATCTGAAGGAGAACACAGTCAAAAATATTTATTTTTACAGGTTTAGCGCTGTATTCCCTTTATAAAAGTTAGAAGTCTGGCAACCCTAATTATATGGAAAAATTTTGAATATTTAAGTTTTTAAATACTTTAGTATTTTAAAACTAAAATTTTAAAACACTTTAATAAAATTTTTAAACTCTTTTACACAGTTATTCGTATTTTTGTTCATCTAATTTTTGTTCATCTAATTTTTTTTTTTCATCTAATTTTATATTATATTTTTAATAATTAAATAAATTTAGTTAAAACACTTATTTAAATCGACAGCTTTTTGAATTAGAAAGTTTTCGAAAGCTCCATAACTTTCAATTGAGAAACTTGGTAGGCTTGCCAATTTTTGTCGAATATGTTTATTAAAAGAACTTTTGTTGCAATATGCTATTTTAGTTAATTTAAATAAGTAACAAAGGCATTTAAGGGGCAAAGTCTTTTACCACACAAGGGCAGCAACTAAATTTAATTGGCACATCTAATTATCTAGTATACTAGGTATTTAATTAAAAAAATGTATCTAAATACAAAAATTAATTTTTTTTTAAATTTATAAATAGAAATTTTGCGTTTGTAAATTTAAAAAAAAATTATTTTTGTATTTATAAATATTGGTTAATAATTAATAATATTAATATAGTTTTAAATTATCTTCTTTTATGTTTTACGCAAATATAATATAAATGATAGGGTTAATTGCAAGTTTTATTTTTGATTTTTGTTGTTGTTATTTATCATTTATTTTACTAGCTAATTTATTTTACCGAAAGTATTATTAATTCTTTAATTAAAAAAATGTTTTAAACTTATTTTAAAGTATAATATTTATTAAAATGCAAAGATCTTTGTAACATTCCTAACTTAAGATATAAAACAGTAAAAATGCAGTTTTTGAATAACAAGAATAAATTTAAAAAATCATTTGTTAAACATATTGAAAAATCTTAACTTGATTAAAAATTTGATTAAAATTTTTTTTTAAATGATGTCAATTAAAAAAAGGTTTTTTTTTTTAACTTTTGAATGAATAATCTTGCTTGGCAATAACGTTTTTTACACGTTTAAAAAAATTAATTAACTAAATTCATTTCTTTATCATGCGTACTAATTGTGATTTTTACTTGTCTATCACAAAACCTTAAATCTAAAACAGATTTAATTTTTTTTTTTTTTTTTAATAATGATCTGATCATGCTGAAAACAAAAAAAAAAAATTTTATAATAAATAATTAAATATATATATATATATGTATATATATATGTATATATATATATATATATATATATATATATATATATATATATATATATATATATATATATATATATATATATATATATAAATCTGCCAATAAATGTATTTACCCTTCGATAATAAGTTTATAAAAAAAAAACAAAAAAACAAACTTAAAATTAGTTCAATATTTTAGTATATTTTACAATACTTTGTTATATTTTACTTCTACTTTTTGAAATAAAAACCTCACATTTTTATGGACCCAATATGCTGGAGCATGTGTGCTGTATTTAACAGCTAAATTTAAAGAGGAGTCACTCTTGAGTAGCTGAGGAGAAGAACATATGGAGTATCCACCAACAACATTAACACCTGGTATATGAAAATCAACCCTAGTAAGAAAATAGTAATGTAGATGTAGATGAGAAAAATTAAACAACAAGAGAGAAATAATGAGGAGTAATCAAAGTTAAATATGGTAGGAATAGCATAAAATGCTTTAAAATCATCAACTACTAGAATAAAAAAGTAAATATAGTTAGTAATACAATATAATAAATATAAAAGATTTTATGTTATAAATTAATCATGTGTACATAAAAATATGAGATAAATAATAATAATAATAAATAAGAGTACATATAAATGTCAAGAACTTTAATTGATGCAAATTTACTTTAAATAAAAAACCTAAATTTTTTTCTATTTAAATATCTTTTTAAAAACACTTGTTTACTTTTATCTAATATTTAATTGATATTTATGTTAATATTTAATATTTTCTTTAACTTTAGATATTTTTATTTTAAAAAACTTTTATTTTAGTTATTTTTAAATATTAACAAAAAATTCAATAAATACAAAATATTTATTTAATTATATTTAATTTAATTTTATAGTAATCAACTAAACATTTTTTTTCAAACTTAAATGTTTTAAAATTTAAATCAAAAGTAAATCATCTCTTTTTGTGTATTGAATAGATATATTTTTCTTTTGTGTACATATTATATAAGAATAAACAGTGTTTTGACTTTTTGTGCATATATTATATTATACAACCAAAACTGTCTTCACTTTTTTTTTGTATACACTTACATAAACATATACAGAATCTTGAAGAAAAAAAAAAGTTGTGTATATGCAAAACCTTTGTTGAGCATTATTTTATTTTCAAACGAAATACCAGATTTTATACTGATTTTATTCAAACGAAATACCAGATTAAATTCTTAGACTTTTCAAAAGTGCAAACTCGCTTCTACTGTGGTCATATAACTTAAAAAGAATCAATGTTTCTTCTTTTAAAATATCCTAAGGGCAACTAAAAAAATAATTAGAAAATTTTTTTTATAGATTTTTTTCATATAAAAATATTTAATATATATTTTGTTTCTAAACAAAATATATATTAAATATTTTATTTATTTAAGTTTATAATGTAACAATTTAAAAAAAAACTGTTGCTAACTAAATGATTGGTTACACTAATGTTTTGTTAGTCTAATGTTTCTGAGATACAAATGCTACTAAAATGTGTATTGATAGAAGCGTTTTGTCACACTAAGGTTAAACTAAGTTAATTTAATTGTACTTAATTCAACATTTTACCTGACTAAAGCTTTTTACTTTACTACTCAGAGTTACATTTATTATTTATTCAATATTTTTATTGCTGATATTGAATAAAAAAAGTTATTTATTATATAAAAAAAGACATTTCACAATTATTACAAAATATAAATAATTAAAATTTTTTTAAAGATTAAGACTTTTTACTTTGTGGTGAAATATTTCATACAAAACATACCATTGACCTGGTTTAAAATTAAACTTTTGATTCTCAATGTAGATATTTAACAATTTGATAGTTGGTGAAATATCAGTTACCTGCTTGACAATTCCTTTTGAAATCTAGAATTAAATATGTTCGTGCTGCTTCAAAAACTTGATTTATTAATTTCAAAAATAATAATAAAAAGAGCATTAGTTTTCCATCAACTCCACCGCACACCAGCGGAGTGGAGTTGATAGATAAAAAAAAAAAAATTAAAAAGAAAACAGTTTTTTCCTAAACAACACACAATTATCAAGGTGAAGAGATCAGCGAGAAAAAGGTGGGTGAAGAGTGAAAAAAATACAGATGCAAAGATGCTCATAAAATATTTCAAGAATAAAATGATTACTATCTACTCTGACATAAAGGTTACACAGAGACACAATGTTGACACTGTGAAAAATGATTTCAAGATAAATGATCTTCATATATTATTATTGTAGATCAAATAAAAAAATATTTTAAGCAACAACCTGAGGAGAACGAATAAAGTGTCCAGTTTTGTCCATGTGATTATATCGAACAATTTTCAAAAATTCAGCTCTTCTAAAAAATATATATTTTTTGTCAATTTGTACTTAAATTGTACTATAACTTTCGAAACCAAATATAAAGCTTATTTTGCAATATAAAAGTATATGTTGCAATATAAAACCAAATGCCGGAATAAAAAACCAAATGTCACAATATAAAATCAAATGTTATTATATAAAAGCAAATGTTACAACATAAAACCAAATGCCACAGTATAAAACTAAATGTCACAATATAAAACCAAATGTCACAATATAAACTAAATAACAAGAATACAACCTTCTCCTAGCAAAATACAAATTTAGATATATTACTTCAAATAAAAAAGCTGGAAAATAAAAAAAAAAGTAAATAAAAACAAATAATAAAATGGTATAAACAAAATAAAAACAAAAAATTGCAATATGCAAAAATAAAAAAACAATGAGAAAAAGTTAAACAAAGATAAACAAATTACCGAGAAAGTTGCTGAATCATGAAAAGAGACTTCAATGATATGCTTAATTCAATCTTTTGTAAAATCGTGCGCAGTCTTCTAGGTAATAGGACCATACACTTGACTGATGCTAAGAATTTGCTTTTTTTTTTAGTATATGAAAAAATTTTTAGGAAAGAGTTTATTAATAACTATATATATACATTTATATATATATATATATATATATATATATATATATATATATATATATATATATATATATATATATATATATATATACATATATATATATACACACATATATATATATACACATATATATATATACACACACACATATATATATATATATATATATATATATATATATATATATATATATATATATATATATATATATACATATACATATATATATATATATACATATATATATATATATATATATATATATATATATATATATATATATATATATATATATATATATATATATATATATATATATATTATATATAATTTAAAAAAAAGATATGTTTGCATAAAATTAGTTATTTTGTCAAAATAGTCAAAATTAGCAAACATAAATTAACTATCAAACTGTAAATATAAAAAATATTTTTATATATAATAAGTAATAAAATGTTAATTTCAAGAGTGCATTTGTAATTCAAGAATGTGTATTGTATGTTCAATGCACAATGTGTATTTCAAGAACCTAAGATCTGCATTTAGGTAACCTTTTTACTGACTTGATTGCTAACCTTAAGATGAAAAAAAAAAAAATTAATATATATCCTTACTTTTGCTGTAATATTTTTTATTATCATTTTTTTAAATTTATATCATTTTGTTCTGGTTTGAACCTATTGAATTTATTTGTTACTCTGAAATATTACTCTAAACTTACATCTAAATTTTATTACTCATTTATTATTTTTGTACATTGTTTAAATATTTATTTAATAACCCAAATTTCCTATTTTAGGTGGATTTTTTAATAGAACAATTATCATAGGAATACATTCCAATAGCTCTAGTAGTCTACAGAGTAGCTCTAGTAGTCTAGTGATATCAATTATTAAATAATAACTATTCAATAACTAATAAATATTAATTATTTTGCAAAATGTGGTTTTAAAACAATAAATAAAAAAATAAAATAAGCTAATAAAAATTATTATTAAAAATAATCAAATATTCTTTTCAAGGTTAAAGTACATGTTTCTTAAAGTACATAATGGAGTGGTTTTATGCATGGTTCAAACAATTAGGATTTCTAGTAAAGAACATAAACACAATAAAAAGACTTTTTTTAAAAACAATGTATATATTTCAGACAAATGCATTTGATACAGAAAAAGCAAAAATGTAAATGAAAAACCAAATATTTTTTCAGTAAAAAATTTTGAAAATATCAAACAAGTTTATTAAACTAAACCTCTTTCAAACTTAAGAGATTACGATTAGCAAAATACTTTTTTCCATATTCATATGTGCTTATCATAACTGCACATGATAATGAAACTTTCATTAAACGTGGATAAAGACCTAGAAATAAAAAACTTTTGATAAAAATAAAAGTCACTACATTTAACAAAACTTCAAAAACTTGATTAAGAAAAAGAAAAAGGGATAAAAAACAAAAAAAAAAAAAAACTGACCAGTAAATAAACTTGAAAAACCTTTAGTTTTATACAGTCGTATCATTACTGCAAATGTAAATCTTGAAACATGCTTACCTAAAAAAATTAATATAAATATATTTCACAACTTATTTTACATTAACTCTCAGGAAAGTAAAAACAATGTGAAATTCTTATACAATATTAAAAAATTGAAAAGAACAAAATTATAAGAAACAGCAGGGGTTAATAGCTGTTGGGAATGTGAGGTTGTTGGGAAATGATTAATAAAGATAAGAAAAAAAACAAGACCAATGATAGAACCTTATGATATCCCAGAAGTTACTGGAAATGAAGAAGAGTGTTGGCCTTGAAGGACTACTTAAATAAAGCAATTAGAAAGAAGAGTGTTGGCCTTCGAGGACGACAAGCAAATTAGAAAGAAATGATTTGGTAGTTTCGAAAACTTTCCTAGATACGCCATATGATACAAGCTTATGGAGAAGACCAGTATATCAAACTTTGTCAAAAACAAAAGCATATCAGCATATCAAACTTTGTCAAAAACAAAAGTTTTAGATATATCAAGAGCATAGCCCAAGCCTCTCTGCCTCTATCTAATGAACAATAAAATCTTTCAGTCACTTGTCAGCGGTAGAGCAAGAGGATCAAAAACCTCAACCTCACAGTATTGGAACCACAGATGCCATTTTCCAACAAGCAGGAAAACAAATCTCACAGTAAGTTATTTGACTCAAAATGGGATGTGAGAAATTTGAATTATATTCATTTAAACAAATAACAAATAAATTTAAGCATGGATTGTACTACAACCATCTTCTCAGTCATTTCTACTTAAATCTGCTCCTCATATTTATGGACCATTGCAAGGAATAAGTCATCAAGTAAAACAGGTTCTGTTGCAGCAATGAAAAAGCTAAAAAATTCTGAAACCTTTTAGAAATTACAAAAAGCCAAAAAATTTGTCCATATTGTTTATTAATACAATAAACAGGTCATCTAGACAAATTTATGAGCTAGTTTGACCTTATACTGATTTTACCTTTTCATTACAGTTATCGTTTCTTTCACGCCATAAAAAACATTTCGGAAGACATCTTCATCATTACTATCATCAAGTTACTAGAAAATTTTCCCCAAAATAAGATTGAAAAAAATTTAGTTTTTCATGATATTTAAGATTATTTAATAAACTTCATTTTACAATGAATAAAAAATATGAAAATATATTCATTTCAAATATGAAAAATACAATCAATTTAATTTATTAATATATAGTTACAAATCAGGTTTTTTTTTAACTTGTTATAAAAGTGCTTACAATTATCTGTCAATAAAATATTACTGGATTAACCCTGATTGAGACCTGTGGGTGAGGGCCATAGCTACGGGTGAGACCTTTAGCCATGGTTGAGGTTTGTAAACAATAATATTTTAGGAGAATGTTGCAATCAAACTTTAAATATTCAATAAATTTATGAATAAATAATCTTTTTTAATTTAAAAGTTATTTTTTAACAAAAGTTTTTTAAAATTCATTGACTATATTGATTATACTTGGAACATGAACAATTTAATATTAGTCAACATGGATCGGAAAAAAAAAATTAATTTCTAAATAATAACCAACATGGATTGGAAAAAAAATTTACTTTCTAAATAATAGTCAACATGGATCGGAAATGGAAATTTAATTTCTAAATATTAGTCAACATGGATCCGAAATGAAAATTGAATTTCTAAATATTAGTCAACATTGATCGGATGAAAATTTATATTCTGAATATTAGACAACAGATTGGATGAAAATTTAATTTCTGAATATTAGGTAAGGATTTTATTACAAAAATGTTTTGAAAAACTATTTATTAGTTACTTCTTTTTTCTTCAATTAAAAACTCTTAAAAACTGTAACAGAGTATGAAACTATATATATACTATATAGTAACTATATGTAAATAATATTATTATAACATATAAAAATTATTTTATATATTTTATAGTTTGTGTAATAATTGTAAAAACAGGCAATCGAAAGGTTAGAACAATAACAATGCCTTATACTTGGAAAGTTTTAAGATTAAATGAAACAACAAGCCTAAATGTATAAAAAGATAAGGAGATAAAAAGATAAAAAATAAAAAGGAAAGAAAAAAAAGTAAAGAAGGTAAGTAGGTAAGATAAGAGATAAGTAAAGAAGCATGAAAGTTTTAATAACAATCTTAAGATAATAAAAATAGCACAAAATATTTTATATATTTTATAGTTTGTGTGATAGAATACAATATATACTTAATATATAGATTTAATGTAAAAGCTTATAAAAAATATTTTTGTTTACAAAATGGTTGATATGCACCTTCACTGGTGTTATTTAAACTACTTTAACATACACTTTGTGCAAACTTTTGATGTTTACAAATAAAATAGGAGAATTAGAAAGAATAAAAGTTTAATCAAGTCATCATAGCATAGAACCACCACAAAAGAGAAACTGAGCACAAGTTAGGGTCAGAGACGAGACAAACTAAGGAGCTAAAGTAGGTGATCAAGATTGCCAAAAAAAGAAAGACACAAATTCAACTATTTGAGTGAGAGATTCAGTAGATACCAATTTTGAGCTTTAGTGTCAGCAAGGTCAGTTGTACTAGAAATAAGTCATTCATTTCAATGACTATTTAAATTACTAATAACAGCAGTATTTGCAGATTTATTATGAGAAAGGACTGGGCAATTTGATCAGAGATAATATTGAAAAGAATATAGTCTAGGGAAATAGAAGAACAATAAAAAACAAAGAAGAAAAGGTAAACCGAGCAGAGTGAAGCAAAAGTACAAAATAGAATAGTCAAAGTATTCAAACAAACATTAACTAATTCAAATAATTACACAAAAAAGAGCTGAATTTATACATAAGTATATGTCAAGTATGTAATATTGTAGCTTTTATGAATCAAATGTTGATAGGCATCTAAACTATGAATTAAAGGGTACAATATTACATACTTGGCATATATATATATATATATATATATATATATATATATATATACATATATATAGGACTAGGTCAGCCCAAAGTCGACAAACTATGTCTCTATAACCTTTGTCAAGTCGACACTTTTCATAAGTCGACAGGAAATCTGTCGACTTTACGTTTGAATGAATTTTAGTAATGATTAGTTCAATGGAAATTAAAAAAAAAAGATACCATTGTAATGTCTAAATTATACTCAAAAGATTTCTATGAAAAACATTAACAAAAAAAAATGCGGAAAACTATAAACAATAACTTTTTTTAAAAGCGCGTATGTTTATTCGTGTTATATATACGATCTAAAGGATGATAGTTAAGAGATAGCATTTTTTGTTTGAAATATAAAGATATATTTATTATAATTTTTGTTTAAAATATAGATAAACTATATAGTTAAAATAATATACGACTAGTTTAAAAAAAAAATTAACATTTAGACATTATATAATATGTTATTTTTCAACTATAAGTAGACTTATTCTACTCGTAAATCTTGCGTCAAGTCAACAATAATAAATATATAGACTTGTATTTTAATATTTCTATGTTTTTATAAATTTTTTAAATATAAATATATGTAAAAATGACAAATAAACTTTAAAATATGCGTATAAAATTTATTTTATACTATATATGTGCATGCGTTAAAATCACTAAGTCGACAAATTTTCTATTTCTTTTTAAAAAGGCGCTTAATTGATCACTTAAATTTTTTTACAATACAAACATTTAATATACGCAACATCTTTTAGTGAAAAATGAATTAAAAAAGAAAATTTTTTATGTCGACTTATAGGGTAAAAAATAATCGCTGTCGACTTTGAGTAGACCCAGGCTTTTATATATATATATATATATATATATATATTAATATATTAAAGATTATTTAATACAAAGGTCTGACCATAAAACATAAAAATGAAGTCGGCAAATTTTTGCCGACCTCAATTCATCATTGCCGGCAGTTAGGCAGCAACCATTGGCAATGATTGCTGACTCTAGGTCGGCAATCACGGCCAGCAGTTAGGTCGGCAATGTCGAATGCCGACTTTAATTCTGAAGGTTGTATGTATATATATAAATATATATATTTATTTATATAAATATAAATATTTATGTATATATATATATATATATATATATATATATATATATATATATATATATATATATATATATATATATATATATATATATATATGTGTATATATAAATATACATATATATAAATATATATATATAAATATATATATACAAATATATATATATATAAATATATATATACACACACATATATATATATAAATATATATACAAATATATATACACACACACACACATATATATATAAATACACACACACAGATATATATATATATATATATATATATATATATATATATATATATATATATATATATATATATATATATATATATATATATATATATATATATATATGGCTGAGTTTTGACAACCATTAAAACTCAGGATATGGGTAACAGCCGTAGAATCTCAATTTGAATATTAAGCAGCCACCATTAAAGATATTTAACTAGGTTTTAGAGCAGTACCATCAATAGGAGAGAGAGCTGAATAGCAATCCACAATGGGATTGTGGATTGCTATTCAATGTGAAATCCTGAATTCACTTTTACTGGACAAAATTCATAATTAATTTAATATGAGGGCTATATTCATTAAAATTAGCATGAGTACTAATATGATGTCTGCGCTTTTTATGAAGGTAATACTTTTTTATTTTGTTGCTATGGATACCTTTATTTTGCTTAGCAACAACCTATTTTTGGTATTTACAGATGCTATATTCACTAAATTTGGCATAAGTACCAATATGAGATCATGCTTCTTATAAATTTTTAATTTTATAACAATTTTTATTTAGTTGCTATGGATACTTATATTGCTAAGTTACCAGATACTTTCCTTAGTTACAAATGGGTAAATAGATTTTTGAATAAACTTTATCTAATTTTCAACCAACCTATATAGAATAACAATTAAGTATTTAGGTGAATAATGTTTTAGCAATAAGAAA